TGCAAGGGAACGAGGGCAGAGGATTCCAGCTCTTTGGGGTTCTCAGAGCCCCGGCCCTGTCAGGATCTGGCCAGAGGGCACCCTGGGTGTTGCTGTCGGCCACCCTCTTGCTCAGGCCCATAGCCACGGTAGGGCATTGGGGGGTGGAGCCCCACTACCGACGAGCCCTGCTGCTCCCTCCACCTGATGATGCCAGACCCCCCCACACTCCAAGTGTGCCTAGCCCCCAGCCCTGCAGCTTCTGGTCGGTTTCACTCCCTCCAATCAGCTGGTAGGAAAGGAGGGGAGTGAAACTGACCAGCAGGGGGCTGGTGAAGGAAAGAGGGAGAGGGAAGGCCTGGTGATGGTGGTGGGGGAAGCTATTCTCTCCCCCCCCCCAGAACTTTCCATGCAGGAAGGGTGGCAGGGAGGTGGGAGGGGGGAGAGCCAATCTCTCTCTCCTGGGGATGCCAAACTCCAGGGGGTGGAATTCCAAAAACAACATCTGTGACAAAAATAACGAAGAGTCAATTTCTGTAGAAAGTTCTCTTCTGTTATCGCTCACACTGCGCAATGAACAATTCGTTTCACACTATTTGCTTTATCTGAGTGTGTAACAATCCCAGTTCTTATCAATTACTACTTATCAACTCTTGAAGGAAACATTCCATGTTGACTCTCTAATAACATGGAATGTTTCCGTCAAGAGTTGATAAATAGTAATTGATAAGAACTGGGATTGCTACATGCTCAGATAAAGCAAATATTGTGAAACAAATTGTTCATTGCGCAGTATTTGTTAGCGTGTGAGCGATAACAGAAGAAAATTTTCTGCAGAAATTACTACAGTAAATGTTTTTGCAGCTTATCTTTATTGACTCTTCATTATTTTTGTCACGGATGTTGTTTTTGGAATTCCACTTCCTCCCGTGGTCTCTCGTTTTAAACTCCATGTGGTCAGGCTGGAGTTCTCCTGGGATTACACCTGCCTTTCCCATCAAAGCCCCTCCCCTCCCCAAACTCCTCTCTCTTCAGGCTCCACCCCCAAAACCTCCAGTGATTTATTGTTTTCAAGTGTAAGTCGAAGCCCCCTTGAGTGGGGAACTCTGACTCCCCGGGCTTGCCATCTTCCGGAGGCAGCGGAAGGCAGCTCTGCTTCGGACTGCCCCCCCCCTTTGGGGACCTTTCCTAGCCGTTTATTTATAATTTATTTGTATTTCTATCCTGCCCATCTCGTGGGCAGGCTCAGGGCAGGTAGCGTCATTATAAAAAACAGTTCTGAAGTGTGGTTTCATATTTTGGTTTTTACATTTTTAATCTACTACATTTGAGGCGCATTATCGATGTGGTTCTGGTTTCCTTCACCCCCCCCAACCTTCCTATTTTTCCTTCTGTACCGTTGTTTAAAAACAACAACAAAGGCACAGGATTCCCTGAAATAATGTTCTACAAGCTATGACTGTCCTCAGCAGGATAAGATCAGAAGAGCCCTGCTGGGTCAGACCAGGGAGGTTCCCTCCAGTCCAGCCTCCCATCTCACACAGTGGCCAACCAGTTCCTCTGGAGGGCCAGCAACAGGGCAGGGAGGCCGAGGCCTTCCCCTGATAAGAACGATGGCTTCAAAAGGGAATTAGATAAGCATATGGAGCAGAGGTCCATCAGTGGCTATTAGCCACAAGGTATAGCTAGGGGCTCTGGGGCAAGTGATGCTCTGTCTTCTTGGTGCTTGGGGGGGGTCAACAGTGGGAGGGCTTCTAATGTCCTTGCCCCACTGCTGGACCTCCTGATGGCACTGGTATTTCTGGCCACTGTGTGACACAGAGTGTTGGACTGGATGGGCCTTTGGCCTGATCCAACATTGGCGTCTCTTATGTTCTTATGTTCTTATAAATCCAACCTCCTCCTCCTCCTCCTCCTCCTCGTCTTACCGTGCCATCCTACCCCTTCCTAAGCCCACTGACTGCCAGGGACCTGGAAAAGTGGAACTGCTGAGGTTGGCGCTCAGGTGGGGGTCGGCCGTGTTGGTCTGAAGCAGCAGGACAAAGTTTGATTCCAGTCGGGCACCTTGGAGACCAAAACTTTGCTGGTCTTAAAGGTGCCACTGGACTATTGAACTTTGTGCTGTTAGGCTGACACCGATCGTCTCCCACAGTGTGGCCTCAGATGGTGAATTCCTCAACGTTGATTACGTCTCTCGCTTTTGGAAATTCCTCCTCCTCCTCCTCCTCCTCGTCTTACCGTGCCATCCTACCCCTTCCTAAGCCCACTGACTGCCAGGGACCTGGAAAAGTGGAACTGCTGAGGTTGGCGCTCAGGTGGGGGTCGGCCGTGTTGGTCTGAAGCAGCAGGACAAAGTTTGATTCCAGTCGGGCACCTTGGAGACCAAAACTTTGCTGGACTATCGAACTTTGTGCTGTTAGGCTGACACTGATCGTCTCCCACAATGTGGCCTCAGATGGTGAATTCCTCAACGCTGATTACGTCTCTCGCTTTTGGAAACGAAGAAAGAAGAGGGTAGAAAGGAAAGCCCTACGGTCTGTTGAACTCCTCCGTCATTCCCGCTGAGGATCCTCGATCTGCCTGCGGCCTGCTGTCCCCACTCTGTCCCCCGTGACTTCACAATGGGGGGAGGGGGGCCTTGGGCTACTGGGGATTCCCTGCCCTCTGAGGCTGGCCAGGACAGCGTGAGGCACATGGGTGGCACCAGGAGAGCAGGGAGGATGGATGGAGAGAGGCCCTCGTATCAAGAAAGACGTGGACAGAGTGGACGGGGAAGATATCTCGGTGCGTGCTGAGCTCTTGCGGAGGAAGGAGAGCCGGTCAGCACTGGGGGATGTGGGCTCCTGCCAAACACGGCCACAGCCTTCAGACGGCACCAAGTTTTAAAGACTGAGTCGGATCCAGTGGGCTTGTGACCGAACGTGCCCCGCGGACTGGCAAGCCTCTTCTCTTTCGGGAAGCATCGCAGTTGCCACCCTCTGGAGAAATGGGTGGAAGTTATCAAGGGGGAAAAACAAGTATGTTTGGTTCCACTGGTACCTTGAGAGAACTTTATCACAGGTAAGTGAGGAGGTTTTTGTTGTTTTTCTTTTGGCAAAGTTCACGATAACTTGATCCATGTTTTCCAAAGATGCCACATTAGCCTTCCCCCCCCCATTAGAGACCCCGAAAATTTCCTCTCCCAGGCCAGTTACATAATTCTCTCTTTATTAGGTCATTTATAGGAATACACGGAATCGGTTTGTACAAGCATATACAACGTCATGATTGGTAGGGCGTGTTCCTGAAATCAGTCACCTGATTTGTTCTAGAACTACCAGTTCCCTCATCGTCTCCTTTCTTGTTGGTCGTGTGGACAATTCCCAGGCAGGAGGTGGACATGCATCGTGTTCGGAAGAGTTAACTACAGCAGGCTTTTTAGAACATGCACATTAATACTGTAGCAAATTTCTGGATATCTAACAGACATAAAAAGGGTTGTTCCTGATATGAAAGTCTGAAAATCTGCATAAATATATAGTGTAAAATTAAATTAACATACTTTCCTTTTTTTTATTCAACTAGAAGTTTTAAGAATGCCCACATAATTCATATACACATATATATATTATGTTCTGTTAATTATTCAAATATTCTCTATCATACACTGACTCCGTACTTAGCAGTAAGAGGATGACGGTGTGTCATAAAGCGTGTACTGAAGTCAAAATTGGGTGTTTAACCACATGCAAATGGGTTTTTCTTTACTACGGTTGTTGATGTAGCTACAGGAATGTGGATTTCTACAATATTGTAATTGCATGTGTATAAATACTTTACATTTTCACAGTTACAAACTCCCCCCCACAGATATTTAACAAATTTTAAGATACAAGGAACAGTAGTATCTTGGATTGCCATCCAGTGGATCAAAAATGCAACAGTTGCTGAGGACGCAGACGATTGTTAAAGTGCCTACAACACAATGCCTTTATGTGTTACCATATTATTAGCTCGGTCCTAAGTAGGTTTACTTGGAGGTAAGACCCACTGAATTCAATGGGATTTACTGTCGAGTATACACGCACGGGACCGCAGCCTACATAGGGCAGTCTTTCCCCCACCCGTGGCAAGAATTTCAGCAGCATTCTACAGAGTATCAACTTCATGTAGGCCAGACTGACCTTACATGGCCCTTTCTGATGACCTAATTCGAAAGCAATAAATTGCAAGTAGATTAATAGGTACCACTTTGGTGGGAAGGTAACAGCGTTCCGTGCGCCTTGGTGTTTAGTCATGCTGGCCACATGACCATGGAAACGTCTTCGGACAGCGCTGGCTCTTCGGCTTTGAAACGGAGATGAGCACTGCAACCCTAGAGTCAGACTCGACTGGCTTTCGAGCAAGGGAACCTTTACCTTTACCTTTAATTCAGAAAAAACAAAATAACCCACAGAGGTTTTTCTTTTATACTGCACGATTCTCTGCTCTACTGATTCTTATAAGTGGTGTTTATGTCGAGTTAATTTAAATTTGCTACAGTTCCACACTGTCATGACCCCCCAAAAAATTACAATAACAAAACATCCCTCTATGAAGGTGTGTACGGTGTCAAATTCATTACAAGCTACCCTTTTAAAAAAAAGAAATAACCAAAAGACCTTTTCCGAAAAGGCTGCCATGACCCTGGGCTGTGTGGTTCTGGGAAGTTACAAGACACCCCCAGTCGGCTCTCAAAAGACAAGGAAGCCCAGTCAAAGCATAATAATAAAAAAATGAAGACCACCACAGGTTAAGAACATACAAGTGCAAATGAGCTGACAACAGGAGGAACGTGTTACTCTATTCGCTCGTTCTGCACCGACGATCCCAATGCAAACCAGTCCCTCTCGCTGAAAGGGGAGCTGGACGGGATTTTCGATGCATGCTTTGTTTAGGAGTAACATGGTTAACTGTGGCAAAAATAACATGAAGGTCCGTATTTGGCAGAGAACTCAGAGCTCTGAGTCTGTGATTGGCTGCTACACTTGACACTACGGGGGTGGGGGGGGGGAGGGAGAGAGAGAGGGAGAGAGAGAGACCATCTTCCGGATCCTCAGTAAGTTTGCTTTGGCAACACAGACCGGTTGGAGTCCCGGACTTCAGGTTGTGTGTTGGAGCTTCACACCACTGTGGCTGGCCTGCGGTCCATCTCGGCTTCTAGCTTCACCATCTGCTGCATCTCTTTCGCCTGCAAAGCCAAGGCCGTTGTGGGATCAGTGGAAAGGAACAGAGGAAGTGAGACTAGAAATCTAGCACCACCTCTTTGGGGGAGCCCCTGGTAGCCGGATTCCCTGGCGTGACTCTCTTATGGCACGGGGACCACACGGAGATACTTGCGGGTGCTCCGGGACCGCCCGCAGAGGCCAGGGGGCAAAAAGCACAAGGACCAGGACCTCTCCCTGCCTACCCACCCGATGAAGGTCCGCAGCAGGCGTGAATAAGGACACATACACATTTGGGGGCAGGTGCTACTAACTGCATTTCTCTCTGGAAACCAGGTGGTTTTTCATCCTAACATGTTTTATCACACAGAAATTAAGCACCATTCCGCATCTCAACTCAGAAAAAAATGGGGGGGGGGAAATCATAAGTGAAAATATGGAGACGTAACGCAGGGCAGACTCTTTTGAAATGCTCGCCCCAATCCACAGGAGGTGCTTCGGGTGGAATGTTCTCGAGGGGCCCCCATTCACGGAGGTGGCTCTGCTCCCACAAGTGGGTGGGTGACTCCAACCCATCCGCCCCCTCTGGCTCTGCAGTTCTGGAAGGGCCCCCGGGCTGGGGAAAGGGAAAAGCAGCATAAGTCACTACTGGGAAACCCCTCCAGGAGTTTCCATAAGTACGCCTGACTAAGAACATGGAATAAGAGACTACTGGATCTTCCACCAAACATGGCTGAACAGTATATTGAACTTGTTCAGCAACTTTTTTTCTTGCTCTATTACCTAGCGGAAAAGCCAAACCCAGTTTACCGTTACAACCGCACGGCGGTGAGACCTCTTCATAAGGACATACTGCCACATTACAGATACATTCAGGTGGGGGTCGGCCGTGTTGGTCTGAAGGAGCAGAACAAAGTTTGAGTCCAGTCAGGCACCTTGGAGACCAACCGAGTTTTATTCTCATTAGAAGCTTTCGTGCCCATGCACACTTCAAGTGTGTGTGCACATGAGAGCTTATACTCACAACTGAACTTTGTTGGTCTTAAAAGTGCCACTGGACTCAAACCTGGTTATGTCGCATTACAGTTTAGCTCAGCCAAAACCAGATGTACTTTTCACTGTGCTGAGAGACTGGAAATGTGCGTTCTGGAAAGGACCCCTGGTTGCTACAACCTGACTCCATTTAAAGGAGAAAACTTTTCAACTGGAGATCTGACCAATCTCCAGAGGATAGTGACGGATTCTTGTGTATTACTCATGCTTAGTTTAACTTCCCCATTTCTTGAGAATTAATGTTTGCATGGCTTAGTATGACCAGCCGTGGTCCCAGAAGGACAAACACCAGGAAGCCCTTCCTGACAGTCAGAGCGGCTCCTCGGTGGAACAGGCTCCCTCGGGAGGTGGTGGTGGGCTCTCCTCCTTGGGGGGAGGTTTTCAAGCAGAGGCCAGGTGGCCATCTGGCTGATTCTGTGAACTTGGGCAGATCACGAGAGGGAGGGCAGGAAGGGTTGCTTAGTTCAGTGCTTAGTTCTCGTGGTCTTTTCTTACACGCCCAGGGAAACGCTGATGGCCACTTTGGGGTCAGGAGGCCATTTTCTCCAGGCCAGTTTAGCCAGGGATCCTGGAGGTTTTTTGTCCTCTTCTGGGCATGGAACAGGGGTCACTGGGGGTGTGGGGAGATGATGGTATTTGTGAAATTCCTGCCTTGTGCAGGGGGTTGGGACTAGATGACCCTGGAGGTCCCTTCCCACTCTGTGATTCTATTGCAGGAACATCTCCCTTTGGGGTAAGTACCAGAATGGAAATGGCTACTTAGCGGGGAAAAAAGCAACAAGGACCCAGCAACCCTAGAGAATAGAGCAAGACAAAAAAGTTGCTGAACAAGTTCAATATACTTATGCAAAGTATTAGTAATTTAATGCATGTTCTTTTTTGTTTCAGTAGCTGCACTGAAGTCCCAACAAGACGAACTTGCTCGAGATTTTAGCTGTTCGTTTCGACCAAAGTGATCCGAAAATTCTAGTATCAGATGAGAGCTGTGTTCAGCCACTTGTGAATTGACTTTGTGAACAGAAGGAATGACTACAAACTGAGATGTGACAAAGACTTTGGTCGAAACGAACAGCTAAAATCTCGAGCAAGTTCGTCTTGTTGGGACTTCGGTCTCTGGATGTGCAGCTACTGAAACAAAAAAGAACATGCATTAAATTACTAATACTTTGCATTAGTATATTGAACTTGTTCAGCAACTTTTTTTCTTGCTCTATTACCTAGCGGAAAAGCCAAACCCAGTTTACCGTTACAACCGCACGGCGGTGAGACCTCTTCATAAGGACATACTGCCACATTACAGATACATTCAGGTGGGGGTCGGCCGTGTTGGTCTGAAGGAGCAGAACAAAGTTTGAGTCCAGTCAGGCACCTTGGAGACCAACCGAGTTTTATTCTCATTAGAAGCTTTCGTGCCCATGCACACTTCAAGTGTGTGTGCACATGAGAGCTTATACTCACAACTGAACTTTGTTGGTCTTAAAAGTGCCACTGGACTCAAACCTGGTTATGTCGCATTACAGTTTAGCTCAGCCAAAACCAGATGTACTTTTCACTGTGCTGAGAGACTGGAAATGTGCCTGAGTGAGAAGGAGCACAACCTGGGGAGCGAGGCTCCCTCTAAGCTGTGGAGTCTGGTGAGCAAAAATCCTGCTTTGTGAGCTACTGGCATTCAAGTTGTGAGCGAGCGATTTGGCTGCTGCATAAGTTAGCTTGCTCTGGAGCCACCCTTCCCGAGCGAAGACAAAAATGTGTGAGCCAGAGGCTAAAAAACTGTCAGCTAGCTCACACTGACTCAGCGTAGAGGGAACGCTGCTCACAGGTGGGGGAAGGGTTAAGCGAGCATCACCCCCCCACCCCCCTTCTTGCCCCTTCAGCAGACACCGGCAGAGAGACATCTGTTTGCTGAGGTAACAAGCAGTTTTGCTTCAAGGAGAGGGCAGGCCCTGCCTTTTTGCCAACATGCCCGGACATCTGTCTGAGCGTGCCGTCCTCTTAGTATAATTCTCTATCTCTAGCTTTAGTCTCCTACGGGGATTAACAGAGAGTGATTAATGCCCCAGCCATTTCCTTCATCGGTATGCTCTCCTCGTGCGGTATAGAAATGAATCATGAAAGATGCCAGGTCCCTGTTAAAATGCTTTTGTGTTTCTGAGGCAGTCCGACATGGTTCTGACAGATTCAGCGCACTACGCACATAATTTAGGAATGCTACGAATTGGGTCACGAGCGTGTTCGACAGTCAGATTTACGATGCTGAAAGGTGTGGACCAGATAGGAGCCAATCGCCCGACAGCAGCTGTGCCTAACGGCAGCAAAAGCCCGCTGAGCACATTTGCGTTGGAGTTTTTGCAGAACTTTACATGTGCAAAGATGCTGCCGAGCCAAACGGATTGGTAAACAGCAAAATACAACCATGATATAATAACTGTATCTTTCTAGTATCAAAGCCCAGTGCAACTCCTTCACCTTTTCACAATCAACAGAAGTTTCTATTTGTAAACATCCCACCAAACGTCTAAGGATGAAAACATGCCAATAGATACATTAATGTAAACAGTCCTATCTTGTGGCCCGTTTTTCTTTACTTTTTTCTCTTCCATGTTATAGTTTGGCATAGCACCTCCTGCGGTTTCCACAACAGAACGACTCGTATCCTGTTTCAATGCTTCATCAAGGCCGATCCCACATGGAGTGATTTCCATTGTTATTAATTATGTAGACTACCAAATCAGTCAATCCTAAAAGAAATCAACCCTGACTGTTCCCTGGAAGGCCAGACACTGAAGCTGAAGCTCAAAGACTTTGGCCACCCAATGAGAAAGGAGCACTCCCTGGAGAAGACCCCGATGCTGGGAAAGATTGAAGGTCAAAGAAGACGGGGACGGCAAAGGATGAGATGGTTAGACAGGGTCATAGATGCAACGAACATGAAATTGAACCAACTTCAGAGGATGGCGGAAGACTGGAAGGCCTGGTGTGATCTGGTCCATGGGGTCGCGAAGAGTCGGACTCGACTGTGCGACTGAACAACAATAACAATATCTGGTTTGTTAGACCATCAGTGTTTAGACCATCGGTGCACTAAGCTTTGATAACACAAAGATACAGCTGTTCGATCACGGTTGTATTTCGCTGTGTGCCCAGTTCAAACTGATTGGCAGCCGCTGGCACCTCTAGTGATGACTCAAACAAACAGGGCAGGATTATATTGAAACACGGCATTGATGTATGACTGATCTGTCAGAGGTGTGAGTGGTCTGCCTACCTAAACCACTGCCTGATGGGCAGAGGAGTGACACAGGAAGACCAGCCAGGGTGTGTGTGTGTGTGTGGCCAGGACAACCCAACCAGGCCGTGTGAAAACAGGCGAGGTGTGCTGTGCTGCATGGTCAGGAAAGTTGGCGGGAGCACGTGGCCTGCCGATCAGCTGGAGGGCCCTTTAAACCTTGCAGGAGGGGAGGGAGAGGGGTGCGCACCAGTCTGGTGTAGTGGTTGAGTCCGCGGACTCTAATCTGGGAGAACCGGGTTTGATTCCCCACTCCTGCTCCACTTGCACCTGGCTTGGATGACCTTGGGCAAGCCGTAGTTCTGATAAGAGCTGTTCTTGAAAAAGAGCAGTCTCTGTCAAGAGCTCTCTCAGCCCCACCGACCTCACAGGGGGTGTCTGTTGTGGGGAGGGGAAGGGAAAGGGGTTTGTCAGCCGCTCTGGGACTCCTTCGGGTAGTGAAGGGCCATGGGGTATGAAATCCAATCTCCTCCTCCTCTTCTCAAAAGCATTTACAGGATCCCTTTAAATGCTTTTGGGGAGAAGTGGGGGCCCTTTAAGGAAGGGCTGGAGCCCTCAACAGCCCCACCGTAGCTATGGGCATGTTGTGTACCCGGGCATACAAGTATGACAGTCACAGTGGCAGCGTGGCGGAGCCTTGGCATTGCAGCAACTACATTCACCACAGTGCCAAGAGCACATGCCGTATCAAGCCAAGTGACGACAGTGTCCGTGGCACCCCTAGGGCACAGGTGTGAGCACTACGAGCCGGGAGAAAACTTGCGGGGAATCTGCAGAGGAGCCAGTTCCAAAGCGAGGGGAGGGGAGGCCGTCCCATGCCCAGCTGCACCTGCACAAAGTGCCTTGGGGACAACCGTTTATTGGGGGGGGCAGACAGAATACTGATTGCAAGACCTTGCTGCTCAGTGTAGATCGTTCCTACCTTGAATCTGAGCGACTGCATGACAGGATTTCAAAAGCTGTTTGCACAAAAATAATAAATGTCAAAACTGAAGGATAAAAGAAGAAGGCAAAAACAAAATGCATGGAAACGGAGGTGACACAGAAGCAAACATAACGGAGAAATTAAAATCCATACAACCAACAAATCATAAGATAACGACATTGCACAAAACCAGGTGAGTTTCTACCTGTATTTCTCCAGTTCCACCTGTTGGATTAATCAAAGCTATTTGTATGGTGTATGTGCTGCCCAAATGAACACACTGTTAGACACTTCAAAGGCTTGCCAAAGGGAATAGGACACATCCCTCGTGGGAAAACCTATATCCAAATTAAAGCTTTGTGACCTCGGTCCTCTCCACATAGGTCTTTTGAGTTTTATGAGTAAAAGCCAATCAAATTAAAACCAAACAGACAAACACTTTTTAAAGTAGATCGAGAGGAACCAGGCTAGGGGGTTCATCAGCTCAGAGACTGGTTTCCTCATGATGCAAAGAAACTATATGCAAATACAGGGTTCCGGGACTGCAGCAGAAGGACAGGCTGTGCTGGGAGCTACGGAAGAACACTGTCTCCTCTTCTAGGACAGGAAGACAGGCGGCCACTTTTGAACCCTTCCACACGCCAAACCTTTCTCTGGTACCAGCATAAATCAGTGATAGCTGGCTAAGTGAAGTCAGGATTTTGGGGGTACCAGTGTGGTTGGTTCCTGTCTGGAGGCAATTGCTAGTGCTGGATGTTTCCTTCAGAACAGCGGTTGTCATCATTTCCAGTTTCCCTTCTGAAGCGCCTCAGAGAAGGAGGGGTTGCCATTAAAAAAAACCCCTTTGGGTAGAGAAGGGCCGCGGGGTATACATCCAATCCCTTCTTCTTCTCGTCTCTTCTCTCACATCCCGTGCAGTGAGAGGAGGAGACCCAGACTGGCTGGTTCCCGGCTCCTGCGGGCGGGCGGGCCTGAGAACTAGATGCCCCCCTGCTCTAGGTGACCAAACAGGCCAATTCTGTCAACAATCTAAAGTTAATTCCAAACCCGGCATGGATCTAACAACCATTAGAGTAGGTCAGGATCGTGAAGAGGAGGAGATCTTTAACTTCTGTGCCAGCACTGAGCCCACTGCAATGGACGGGACTCGCAATTAGAGAAGGAACTGTGGACTATACCATAGCTGACGTGGACTGCAGCAGGAGAAAAGAGCAAGAGTCCAGGAGCACCTGGAAGACTAACAAAATTCATGGCGGGGAGGAGCTCCACTGAGTAGACATGCTCATGCATAGGCACCAGAGCTGTCATGCAAAACGGCATGAGTCTCCCACTCAAATAAACCCGCACCAGAAATGTAAACCGGCCTTACAGAGAGTCCATCAGCTCGTCTCCTGTCTGTCCTTCTTGGCAAGGTTTTCAGCTGATTGATTTAGCACGATGAATCGATTGAAGAATGCAGCCCTTAAACACGGCTACGCTTGTAACACTTGCGTTTTTAGTGACATGGAAAAGTAAAAAACAACAACTGGGGTTTTCTTTTCTGGGGTGAAAATGAGTGACCTCAGGACTGCGCCGTAAGCCACAATTTTTAAGGTCCTTGATGGTCTGCACTCAAGAGCAAGTGGACTCAAATGCTTCTCCCGCTACAGACAAATTAGGTGTCTCTGGCTACCTTAGGTGGGACTGGTGTCGAGACATACAGCCTCAAAGCAACGTGAACCTAGGATCTGAACACAAAGAGGATTGAGCACTCTCTCCTTTCCGCTCTTAGGAGATGGAAAGAAGCTATCAGGAAAAAGCCGGTCATTCAACAGAGGAGCTCAGTTATTTTGTTGGCCTCCAAAAAACATGGGAAGAGGGAGACCTCATTAAGTAGATCTTTCCTGACGTTTAAATAATCCCTTTATAATCAATACTCCACAAAAGTCACACAAGTTACATTCTACGCAGAACTTCTGACGAATGAGTCAGCCAACTAATCAGCTCAGCTCTGTGCTGGGGGGGGGGGTTAAGCTTTGCAGAAGAGTTGACCCTTCCGGTAGAGTCAGTGAAGAGCTTTGTGGGGGTGGGGGGCGTAAATGTGAGGGGAGGAGACTGTGCTGGGGACTGATTTGATTTTGGTGGCTTTGTGTAAGGATTCTTTAGGCTTTTACCTGTTGCTCATCCAATCAAAACAAAAACCTGCTGGTGGAAGGTCTTACAGATGTGGAATGTGAGAACCACCAGAAACCTGACACTAGCAGAACCCAGAAGACAGTACTGGAAATGCTGATAAGCCTACAACTAAAACTCAGGTCCTCCTATTTTTGCCTTGGAGCACCGCAAGATGGCAGCAACGTACTGACCCTACGTGAACTGGTGGCGGCTGGCAACCTGAGGATCCGACGCACGCTGTATCTTATTGTTCTATCACAGAAAAAGTTGGTGGGGAAAAAACCCAGCTCCTCGTTTAAGAGAGAGAGCCCAGTGGTTGGCAACAGAAGAGGGATTCTGACTAGCTCAGTCATGTAGAAGCAGACATGGAGCTGCTGCTTTGTACTGAATCAGACCCCCCCCCGCCCCCTGGCCCATCAAAGACTGGCGGTGGCTCTCCGGGGTCTCAGGCTAAGGTCTTTCCCATCACCCACTGCCAGATCATTTTTTTTTTTTAATTGGAGATGCTGGGGGTTGAACCTGGGACCTTCTTCATGCCGAGTCAGTACTCTCCCACTGAGCCACGGCAAGGACGATTCTATTTAGTTTTCTTCAAGCTGGAATTGGATAAACATATGGAGTAGGGGTTCAGGAGTGACTCTTAGTCACAAGGTATAGACAGGAACTCTCAATCTGGGGCAAGTGATGCTCTGTGTTCTTGGTGCTTGGGGGGGCAACAGTGGGAGGGCTTCTAATGTCCTGGCCCCACTGCTGGACCTCCTGATGGCCCCTGGTATTTCTGGCCACTGTGTGACACAGAGTTTTGGACTGGATGGGCCACTGGCCTGATCCAACACTGGCTTCTCTTATGGTCTTATGTCTGGGGCAAGTGATGTTCTGTATACTTGGTGCTGGGGAGGGGGCAGCAGTGGGAGGGCTTCTAGTGTCCTCCTGGCCCCACTGCTGGACCTCCTGATGGCACCTGGTATTTCTGGCCACTGAGTGACACAGAAGAGTGTTGGGCTGGCTGGGCCACTGGCCTGATCCAACATTGGCTTCTCTTCTGTTCTTATGTCTGGGGCAGTGATGCTCTGTGTTCTTGGTGCTTGGGGTGGGGCAACAGTGGGAGGGCTTCTGGAGTCCTGGCCCCACTGCTGGACCTCCTGATGGCACCTGGTATTTCTGGCCACTGTGTGACACAGAAGAGTGTTGGGCTGGATGGGCCACTGGCCTGATCCAACACTGGCTTCTCTCTTATGCTCTTATGTTCTCCCCGGTTTCCTTCCTTAGTTATGTAACTCATGAATTATTTTCGTTATGATGTGTGATCAAGCCATATGATTATATTGCTGTTGCTGTACAATTACCTGTTCGTTCATTTTGTTTCTCCAGAATTTCGAGATGCTCAAGTTGAACTTTCTTCAGCTGATCCATTTCCTTGGTTTGCTTCATGGCCAGCTGTAAGCCCAACCAGACATGTGTCAGTCAAAATGCAACACAGAATCCTCTCTGTGGATGTCACGGGCTTTAAAATAAACCCATTCCCCACCCACCCAGTACCCTTGCTTTTGGCATGAAGCAGATCTTAACGCTACAGAGAGGCTACAGACTGCGGCAGAATTCTCATTTCAAGAACTATTAGCCTGGTCTCTT